CTAATATCCTCTCACGAGTGACTATGAGATCAACTACCTCCATCATATGAATGGATATACAACACATCAGTTTGTCCAGTTATCTTAATGCCCAAATAAGTTTTGTGGTGAAGCAATGCGGGTGTTATTCCTACCTACATTAAGAGTTATCGTAAGCAACATAATTTTGAACATGAGTTCCACTGTAACTTTATGTAGGTTCTGCATAGAATCTTTAGTGTCTTCGATCAATTGATCAACTTGAGACTAAACTTTGTCAATCTTAGATTTTGACTCCTCTTGCAAGTTCTCTATCTCAAGAAGTCTTTTGTTGGCCTTCGTAGATTTCCTCTAGACTCGCTTCGAGAATATTAATGTAGGTTTTTGCAATTGTAAGCATTTTCTTATGGCTTCTTTTTTTGATTGATACTTCGGATTGTGCTTCCTTTGCTCATGGAGAATAGCCAACTTCTCACTCGTCATTTTTGTTATCATACTCCTCTTAAGCAGCTCTAATAACCTAAGAGTGAGCTTGCACTTGTAATCTATCTATGACTACTTGGGGTAATAGTTTAGCTCATCTCATCTTACTTGATTCACCGTGATGTTTCGCTATAATAAGATTATAAACTTTCATTGTTTGTTCCAATTGCTTGTCGACTCTAATATCAAAATATCACGGACTTAACTGAAATTGCTTAAGTCATGAGGCACCTTTGCATTCTTCATCCATAGAAGATCATCCTAGTTATAGCTTCTCTTATGTCCTCAAGAACCTATAAAAGAGTAAATTAATTAATTCTAAAAACGGACAATGAACAAGTCCTAACATCTCGAGGATAACTTTACAAGCAATTTAGTAAACACTTGTGTGCAAGAGAAAAAAATAAAAAAAATAAAAATTTTAAAAAATAAATAAATAATCATAAATCTATAAATGATTGTTTATTGAGTGTCAAGCACGTTGGCAAGTCCATGTAAATTTTACGTATGAATTTATAAATTCATATAACACTATCCTAAATCTTAATTCAATCCTATGTACAAAAGCCACATGCAATGGTATGTGAAAATTAAGTAATTCTAGGATAACTTTACTTATTCTGGTACTTAATTTTAAGTAAAAAAATATAAAAATAAGATAAAATATATTATCAAACATATGTATAAATAAATAAAAGTGACGAATGATAGAACGTATTGTTGGGGGCAACCGTCCGTGATAAAGAGTGCCCCTTTTTCATCGATTGGATAAAAGACTCCTCCACCAGCCGCCCATCACTAGCGACGGCGCCCGTCGCTTCCACCCATCGCAAGCAGCGACACCCTACAGGCCACTGTTGCTGGCCCTCTTCGCCAATGTCGCAGCACTGCCACCACCTCCTCTGGCTCCCCCCGCCCCCTCCTCCGCCGTCGCCGTCGCCCCCTTCCTTCCCTTCCCCTCCCTCCGTTCTCCTCCCCCCTACCCACACTTCCGCGTCGCGGTGGGTGAAGCGGGTAGAGCGGAGGCGGGTGGCAAGGGCATCAGCCACGAGGGCCTCCGTCACCCTCGCCGCTACTCCCACCGCGACGGAGGCCCTCACCGCTGATGCCCTTCTCCCTTCCACCGCCCTCGTCGCTGTGCAGCGCAGCCCACGGTTGCCTCCTCCCTCAGCAAGGCCGCCTCCGCGGAAAACCCCTCGCCGCTGACACCCTCCTCCCTTCCGTCGCCCTCCGCTATGCAACGCCGCCTATGGCCGTGCAGCTCTGCCCGCGACTGCTCCCTCCCTCAGCAAGGGCGCCTCTGTGGAGGCCCACTGCTCCCACCGCGACGGGGAAGGGTGGGCGGCAGGGAAGAGGGAGGGAGGAGGAGAACGGGGAGGGAGGGGAATGGGGAAGGGAAGGGAGGAAGGGGTGGGGTTTGGCGGCGCGGAGGCGACATTGGAAGTCGAGGGGCGAGGAGGAGCAGCGGTAGTGGCGAGGAGGGGCGGCGCTGCTCGTGAAAGGCGGAGGCGACGGCGGCGCCACTCACGGTTGATGGCTGGTGGAGTGTGATGGGTATTTTTGTTCAATCAGGAGCACCATTAGTAAAAAAATAAGGAGTTTACTATTTATAATTTTATTATTATTATTATTTATAATCTTACATTAAGAATTTTAAATATTTTTTAAATATTGTTTTTTCTTCCACTCGATGTAAAATAATAAAACAAGATAAATAATAAAATAAGATAAATCAAATATCGAAAAGAAGGAGATTATAATTAATCTTTAATTTTTATTATAATAATTTAATTTATTTAATATTATATATATTTTAGTTGTATTAATATATTTTAGGTCTTTGCAAACTGTTTAATAAGATATGCAGACGTGAAGGAAGTCGATAGAAATAATACACACACCAAAAAGGATTATGAAAAATAAAAAACAGAGAATAAAATTAAAATTAAAATTAAAAAGATTATAAATAATAAAATATTTTTTTATTAACTTTTAAAAAAATATAAATAATAAAAAAAATATAAATTCTAAGAAGGAGACTCCAAGCTCCAAAAATCAATTGTAGGCCGTAGGAAAAAGCCCAATACTAATACTATGGGCAGAGACGGGCCGCAACGAACCGGCAGGGAGGGCTTGGAACTGCAGCGCAAGATCGGGGCTGGCCGAGCCACTTGCCTACCTGCCCGCGTGGGTGGTGCCAGCCAGTCACGCGCACGTGGCTCGAATTGCGCGCGCTGAGCAACGACCGTCTTTTCCCCTTTTTTCTCTTTTCTATAATCATTATTATATAATAATTATATAATCATTGCGTGCAGCTACTTCACGTTGTTATATAATCATTCTGAGATAAATCACAACAATCTGATTGGTCTTATGGCAAAAACTTTTCATTTTGATCATTAATGTGGGTGAATGCTGAACTAGGTTTTGTTCTTAACCGGACGTTTATATATATGATTAATGATGTAGTTTTCATACTGAGATGTGTGCTCCATTGAGCAGAGTCTTGTAGGGAAGGGAGGGAACGAGAACTCCTTTTTTCTTGATTAAGCACCGGAAGAATGATGTCCACGCGTGAAATACGTGAAATATGTGACAAACAAGGATGCATCGCCTCGGTATCTTTCGAAATATCTGACATGGTTTTGTGGAAACAGCAAGCTTACAAGGGGGAGGGGTATCGGAAAGAGCAGGATATAATATATTGAGACCAATAACAATCTGGAGCCCAGCTGTTGCTTGCAGCATAATTGCTGTCAAGCCAAGGGTTTGTGTCCACAGTAGCGATGGCTTTCCTGTTTATCTTGTGATGGTGGTGGTGTCCAAATATTTGGTGAGGTGAATCAGTGGTTAGAATAGAAGACAAATATATAGGGCAGCTCAGCCTGATGATGTTGTATGGTAAAAAACCGTGGAAGAGTTATCTGCAAGGTGAAGAAGATACGTGCCTTGAGGTTCTAGTAACTACACAACTGCTTTGCTAGCGGACAAGAACTCTTCTTATCTGCATGCCACTGTTTTACCATGGAATCTCTATTATTAGAAAAAGCTTGGGCAGGGTTTCTGAACTAAAAGCAGCAGATAACGCCAAAGGGCGCGAATCCTCATCCCATAAACAACACGATCACAGTATGAAGCGGGCCCCGTCCTCTGCGTCCATGAACAGAAGTTTGGAGGTATCAGTGGCTCGAAGCATGCTCACTGCCGCTTCCAAGAACAAGTGGCTGAGTGCATGCCAAGAATCCAGACAAGGACGATGAGGATGAGGATGGAGATGGGGCACCGGGGAAGTCCCTTAGAGATCATGACCCACGCGCATGCCCTACGACAGGCATCTTATGGTGCAGGCGAGACATGAGATCTGGAGCTTTTCAGAAACATTGGGGGGGCTGCCCATATGATGGTGACGATTCTCTGCTCTACGAGGACCACCACCCTCGTGCATGGCCTCCCGCGTTCAGGAAGAGCGAGCGAGAGAGCGCGCTCCCCCAGTACTAAACGTGCATGCATGCATGGCTCTCCAAGTTCCTCTTTGGAATGTTGGTCTTAGATGTTTCTGCTCCTCGCCCCATAACAATCAGTGCACCTACTACTACCTGTACTCGGCCTGCTGTTCCTTCCAATAACATTTGTTCCACTGCTGGCTGGTGGCTACATTAGATCAAAAGTATTGCACGATGAAGAAGGGTTAGAGGATAAACATAACTCGTACTTGGCGTGTCTGTTGACTTGTGTTGAAGGAAGTCCGCGGGAAATTTCTGGTGCAAATGCTTTCTTTTTATATATATATATATAATTTATTTTTTCCTTATCCGTGGGATTGAATTGCAAGTGGGGTAGAGAAAATGCACTCGATGTTACCTTCCAGTTCAAGAGATTTTTTTCGTAACTTGACTTCCGATCACCAATATTAATGTGAAAAAAAATAAAATAAAATCTTATTATTGTATGTATAACTAGAGAGTATGAAAATTTTATAGGATTCCATTTACTTGATCTTGAAAATATTGGTACTGAAAAATAAGAGCTGAACCGTGTCGAAATTTTTTGTGTAGAGATTTCGGAGACGTATGATTTTGTCGTTGTTGATATAGATTTGAGAGACGCACGTATTTCTTTCATACGCTATGCTTCATAGGGGGAACAAAAAATTGTAATGTCAAAACAATTCACTGAGACTTGTATCCACGTCTTTGGTGTTCCCTCCGTTTACTCTTGGCTTTCCTCTTTTCTTTTCTACCATGCTTCGTGAGCAAATTGATGTCCGGAAGTTGACGAGCTCTTAAAACGGGTACTGAATCGATTTATGTTCATCCTTGCAGCAACAGTCGTAAGGTAAAGAAATTGCTTTGGCTACATCGCCACCCTTACGAGGTATCACATGCTTCCCTTTGGTTCAGAACCAGAGGGAGTTGCAGTAGGAGTAAAGAAAGACTCTTTTCCCCAGATGGATTTACTGCCCGTCAGTACGCCGACCTGTAAGGTTGAAAACCTAGGCTTCTAAGATGACTTTTTACTCTGAGCCGAAGCGTACGTGTAAGACCAAATGCTGATATCAATTACCATACTATCAACACCATGGAATATGAGAACATGAAAAATCATGGAGCAGCAAAGTGAAGAAGAACACTCCGAGATGGAGATCCTCGATCCTGATGAACAAGTACATGGACAAGAAAAGCCAACTACAGTCTCGTTTGAGTTGTACCATCCAAAACTCGTCTGAACTTTCGGTAGCTGCATCACCTGTGGCACACGCATCTGTAATGGTAGGCGCTGTTCATGGGGTCGCCGGCGTCCACCGGAACCTGCTCGGCGCTGCACTTGAATCGACAACCTCTGCACTCGTTGTAAGTGCAAATTGGAGCCGTGGAGCCTATCAGCAGCCTCCTTCCGCTTGCATCCCTCCATCTCCAGGATCCTTCTTCGTTTGTTATGCTCTGAACACTCGAAACGCAAGCAACTTGTCACAGCAAGCGCAACATGAAAATACGCACGGTGTTTCAGTCTTACCGGTGATTGACTGCCCCTCTTTAGCGGTGGAAAACTCGAGTGAGAAAATACTCCTCCAGGATCTGCAATACGATTACTTGCACATCAGACGCTACTGCAGCAAACTCAAAAGACAAGAACAGGATCCGGTGTAACCAAAGATATCCGAAGACTGCAGAACTAGCGTGAGCTCTGATGGATAGAAATTGTCACCTGGTCGGCAGAGAGCGCACATTACGATGGAGGAGAAAAGGAAGCAGAAGAAAAGCAAGGTGCCGTTGGTGGGGTTTGCCAAGGCCATGGCAGTTTCAACTTGAAGCAGATAGCAAGGGAGAGGTGGGAGTCCAGTGGATAGGAACAAGGTGATGAAGCATATAAGGATGAATACTGGTACGACACTGTCGTGACGTAATAGGCCTCATGTCCCTATGTAGCTCGCTCATGCACCAAAAGCAGAGTCAGGTCCCCCACACTGTGAGCTCTCATCATCATCTGTGACTCCCGACACGACTTCATTTACCGAACTGCCCATCAATGATTCGCTTCACTTAACTTTGACTCGAGATCCAAGATTTGTGGCCTGTCCCCTAGTTCGTCTCTAGTCCCTTCCCTACTTCTTTGTCATGCTGTCTAAGTTGACTGTTCCTGGATGTACATATGTGGGCTTCATCTTTCACTTCGTATGTGACCTCAGTTTGTATCATCAGCCCATAGAGATGGAGGAGATAAACCCTTCCGGTTTCACTTATATGTTTGCAGTTTGATTCGCGATACGCGTCGTATCCACCCAGCCAACACGTCAGCTGGATTTCTATTCTGTGAGAATCACAATGTAGCGTCGACAAATATGGTAACTTGACATCGACATGGTAGTCCATTCGGACTGTATGACAACGGGTAGTTCTGGATGTTAAAGCTAAGTCGTTATTTTATAACCACAGTGATTCTATATACGATCCTATGATTTAATGATAGTCGAATGACGCTCATAACCATTCCCAATATCAATCACTACTATCACTCTAATACACTATAAAAAAAAGCCTCCCAACTATAATGTAAGCAGGCCACAACCCCTCTTCTATCCATTAGGAGATCAAAGAATCGTAGCCTTCCTCAAGTCGCAGCAAAACCCGTGGCTTTCCCATCTCTTCTTCTCTCTATCGCAGTAATGGCAGCCCTACTTCTCGACGGAAAGCAGAAGAGGAGAGATCAAGGAGAGGAAGAAGAGGAAGAGACGAAGACAGCAAGCAGTAGCATCACCGTCAAACTGCCTTCTTCTTGATCGGAGCTTCCAGGAGATTCCAAGAGAGAACAGCTAACATCAAGCACTGCTGCACCTTTTCCGATGCTTGGTAGCAACAAGAAGAAGCACAGCCTACTTCGCTAACAAGATCAACAGCCCCTCAAGTCTTCTTCCCGGCCTAGAACCTGTTTTCTTGTCGAGAAGAGGAGAGGAAGAGAGGGTGGCACTTCTACTCTGTTTCCAGCTGTTGCCGATTCTGCTCAATCTTCCAACCAGTGCTGAAGTTATTCCCTCCACGGGCAACATCTTCTTCGATGTTGTCCAACTGCCTTGGCCTCATCCTAAACCTATCAACCCTCTATTAATATTCTTCCTGACAGTCACAGCTTGCGCATTTCCGTGCACGAGAGCAATTGCAATAACGCTTCATCTTTGTCCTCTATCAGCAAATTATGTTAAAATCAACCTCTTCTATAGAACCTAACAAGGGTGCTGTTTGTTTAGAGGATAAAAAGGAAAAAAATAAAAAGAAAAGGAGAATCAGCAACAACTATTCTGTCATGATCTGTCCGCGTTTGACATATGAGAACTTATGAGCAATTGTCTCTTAGAAACTCTTTCGCTTTAGCTCTTTGTTTTGAGTAGATTAATTTTTCTTTCCAAGTTACATTTATTGTAGAAAAAAGTATAACTCCTTTGCCAAAGCTTCAACATCCTAATAGCTTTGGCTGACTTTATTGTTTAAACGGTAGTTTTGACCTAACGGATGGAGATCATGATGGATTGGATGCAAACCCTAGCTATCCTTTCAACAATCAACAATCAAGTAAAAAATATCATAGTAAAGGAGAGAGAGCTATCTCTATTCCAGATGTGTAGCCATGAAGAAGATGTCAAATAGAACGTATCCTCCCATGATGGCTGATCAATGCCAAGGTATTAAACTCCTGGCTAGATTAACTTGACATTTACTTTGATCTATATGATTACGACGAGGATAGAGTGATACTTGCATGACTATAGATAACGGGATACACACTCATATAGAAAGTATATCTCCAAACTAACGGTGATGAAGATATATCATGAACATAATTCAAATATTTTTATGATAAAAATTCTACCCGATGGAGTATTTCAAAGAAAGATAGAGGAAGTGACATTACCTATACTAAGGGACCAATCCGTGTAAGAGTATACCATTGAGTTTCGATGACAAGCAAAATCTCTCTCAACAATCACTCGATGGTGATGAAATATACCTTCAAGCTTTATGCATAAATTTATAAAGAGTTGAGTCTCTTTAAAGTATATGATATTTCAATTACTAGCAATATGATGATGGTGATCGAGAGAAAGAATTACACCTATAACGAGACCATAGAGAAAGTGAAAAGAAGCCACTTGAAAACCCAAGAGAACTTGGGGATGATAGAACTTTTGTTTCTTGAAACGAAATGATCTTTTTTGTAAATATTATAAAAGTGTAGGTCACTTCAAAGTAAAGTATTAAAATGTTCACTCGAAACTCTTCCCAATGAAATGGTTGAAAAACAATCAAAGTCAACGAGTCACAACCACGACTATAAGTGACAAGTCCATCGAACTTTCACCAGTCTCACACTCAGATTCGAGTATATCCTTAATGACTAGATTGAAGGTTATAGACTCGAGTTTGATCCCTAGTCCAAAGGTCTTAGAAGAATTCTTCACCGTAAAGATCCAAGTGAAGCAAGAAGTTGGTGTGATTTTCAACATTGGGTGCTAAAAGAACATCATCTCAATGAGCTTTGTCAAGAGGCTCAGTCGAAAGATGACACTACATCCGCGTCCATATCGTGTTGGATGGCTTTATGATGATGTGAAGATAAAGATAAGGTAATAATGCAAAATATGCTTTATAATCATAAAAGAATTCGTCGATGAGGTGACATGCAAGGTGGTTCTGGTTAACATATACTAAGTGATCTTTGGGAGTCGTTGCTTATGGGATCAAGATGTTGTTTACTTTCATCAAGCTAAGTATCAACTCCAAAAGAATAGAAAGAATTTCCTTATCACTTAAGATTTGATTAGTTCAACGGAAGATGACATCCGTTAGCCAAGCAAAAAGGATAATCAATGCTTACCAAAAGCTTGTGGCTCTCATTTTGACATGCAAAAATCAACGTCTACCTCTAACACGATGAAAGAGAAAGAGAAACCAAAAGAGATAACAGTGACCACAAAGCCTCGATAAGAGAAAGAAAACCTTTGGGTTGACGATGATTGATAACAAGAAGAACCCAATCAAAACGACATGCATAGACAACATAGTCGAGCATGATGATGTCAACCACATCATCAACAGACTAAAACAAAAACTCTAACCTTATAGATGAAGAGAAAAGAAATCTTAAAATAAGATTCGAGACATGAATCATCTAATTGAGTGATCTATGATTAGGGATAACCTTGTTGAGTCGAGATTAAGTCCAATCTCAACCATTGAAGCAAGATGTAGCTCATCCATATTATATTCATTCTTAGTCGTCGAAGCAAGGGGGGATTTATCCGCATCAGCCCTCTATCACCACACCACTTGGCTAAGTCCTAGTCCAAGTAAGACTCGGGCCCAGCAAAAATGGATGGCCAAAAACAAAGCTGCGTGGGTAGGAGACGCACAACTCGTTGTGCACGTGCAACTACTTGCATGCCTAAGAATTACGTCGTCACCCAATCTTATACGAGGACTCCTTCAATCACAGCCCCTCCTAATCTATCGAGAGATCAAAGAATTGCAGCCTTCATTAAGTCGCCAGCGTCCGAGTAGAACTCGCGACTTCCCCACCACTTCTTTTCTCCATCGCAGCAGCGGCACCCTACTTCTCCTCGATGAAGAGTGGGAGAGCGAAAGATCAAGGAGAGGAAGAAGAAGAAGAAGAAGAAGAAGAGAAGTAGAGCAGAAAAAGAAGACAACAAGCAGTAGCATCACCTTCGATCTGTCTTCTTCCTGATCAGAGAGCCCAGGAGAGATCAACTAACGTCAAGCGTTGTTGCACCTTCTTCGACGATCAGTAGTAGCAAGAAGAGTTCCAACTTTCTTCGCCAACAAGATCAACAATCCCTCAAGTTTTCTTTCTGGCCTAGAACCGGTGTTCTTGTCGAGAAGAGGAGAGGAAGAGAGGGTGGCACTACTGCTCTGTTTCCAGCAGTTGCCAATTCTGTTCAGCGTTCCAAGCAACATCTTCTTCGACGTCATCTAGTAGCCTCGACCTTATACTGAACCTGTCAACCCTCTGCCGCAACCTCATGTGGAGGTTGGCAGCGTAGAAACTTCAACTTCGGGAGTCGTCGCTTGCACGTTTGTGTGCAGGAGAGCTGTCGCAATAGCACTTCATCTTCGTTCTCGACATTGAAAGACGTAACAGCAACTATGATAGAATTAACCTCTACGGTAGTGCCTAATAGGGATATTGTCGGTGAGTGATCAAGGAGCAAAGAGAGGAAAATCTAACAATAAGCATTCTACCATGATTTATCTACACTTGTCACATTCGAACTTTCGAGCAATTATCATTCGCGAATTTTTTTTGTTTTAATTTTCTGTTGTAGACACTATAAATTTATGACAAGAATAGATTAATTTTCAAGTTGTTCTTATTTAACTCTTCCGTAAAAATTTTCTATCTAAGAGATGGTATCGGATGGATGAAGCCTCAAACCCAAACTCCATACATATGCCCAGTACTTGGCAGCGTTATACTGGGGACACAGGGTTTCTTCAATGCAGAGCCGCTGTGTGAAGCTCATCTGCTCGCCGAGTGAGATCGGTGTTTGATCACTGACTGCAATTCAAGGACCAACCCAACAAACCATCATCCGTCCATCCTGATCTCATCAAGCTGGCATCTCTTATTCTCCAACTATTGTTGTAGTTCTAACTTCTGAGATCCTCGTCACCGCTGAGATGTTTTGCCTCTTAGACACCTCCAGCTGAGCTCGGAACCGGGTCGTCTCCCCAAAGAAGGTTCATCATGTCCCGCCCCAGGTAATGTGGGTTCTGTCGAGTCTCGCAGTCATCAGGTGGTGTCCCTGCAATCAAGAACATAGGCATCGACAAAGTCCAACATAAAAAACTTGGAGCATACAAAAGTCCG